TGTTGAAGTCTGAGGCTCAAGAATCAAGGATTTGGGGCACTTTCCTACACTCAGCCTAACATGCTTCTACAAATGACTGACAGGAGTTAAAACAAGTTTCCTTAATTGAAACCTCTTCTCAACTTGGTTTAACAGGAATTAGAATGGAACACTAAGTATATAAAAACTACCTTTCCTCATGCCTGCTATGTCAGACCTTATGCCCAATTTCCCACTCATCCTTAATTCAAAGATATTCTTCCAATCTTCCTTAAATAGCCATTCTTACCCAGTACATCCAAGTTCCACACAGCTTTATTTTGTCAAACCTCACAGACTGATAGCTAACAAGGAGTGTGAGAGTATTTTACTTGAAGCGGATAGAAGTTCTACATCTACAGCAACTACAGGTTCCAAGTTATCTATTAAATTATGCTGACTAGTGAGAAAGGGATGACATCATCTAGAAATCATGAACACCTACGAGCTTCAGGCATGTAATTATAACCCATCAATATTTCATAGAAGTAAATGAGAACCACCACGTTATTACCTAGGGATATAGGATTTTGGGTTCTGGCAAAGCATGTTAAGATTTTGTTCTGTCAAACTGCGCTTGATTTTTTAGTGGGTTAAAAGTCAGTTGAGAAAACAAGAAGAACTGCAACAATGATACAAGGGAAAACTAGAAAGAAAAAAATAAAATGCAGTGTTCAAAGAGAGGGAAGTCATTCCCAAGAGACTATACAAGACAAAAGACACACAGCATAACAATTTTTGTGCATCTTTCACATCATATATACAGGTATATAAGCATTCTCTTAAATAGGCAAGTAATTTTCTTTTCACTAGCCGTGAGAAAGTATAGCAGGCAAAGGCCAACTTCTTAGTTTTTCTCTAATTATAGTTCAGGACCATATCCACAATCTATTTAAGACTATCCCAATGACTAGGGAGAAAAGAAAAGGGAAAAAGAAAACATTCAAAGTAGTATGAGCTCTCTAAAAAGATTTGGAGATCTACCAACATCTGTCCTCTCTAAAAAGACTCCATCTACATGTGGTGGTGTGTACCTGCAATTTCAGCACTCAAGAGGCTGAGTGCTTAATTCCTTAATTGTGGAAGAATTGAGAAAGCACAGTTTTAGGGCTGGTGAGATGGCTCAGTGGTCTAAAGCACCTACTTAGAACAAGCTTAGCAAAGCACAGGGACATCGGTTCAATCCCCCAGCACCACATGCCAGCCAGCTCCGCCCCCTGGTGGGCTGAGCTGGCCACACACATAAATAAATAAATAAAATTAAAAAAAAAAAAAAAAGAAAGAAAGCACAGTTTTAATAAGCATACAATAGATGAACAGCCTAACAATTATTTTTTGAAGTGTTTAAAGGAATATTGTTTTGAGTGTGAGGCCAGCCTAGGCTACATAGTGAGCTCAAGCCTAGTCTGAACTACACAGTGAGACTTTGTTTTCAAAAAAAAATAAATAAATAAATAAATAAATAAATCAACCCACTCAATTCCACAGTGCCTCAAACTCAATCTTCCAGACAAAAATGTCGAAACTAGGTTAGCCTACTCATACAGTACTGATTTGCTATCTGCTATTTTGACTCAAAGGTGCAATCATAACATGGATTGTTAAAGGTTGCATACAGACCACCTGAAAAACTCTGTCAAAATACAGATTCTTCAACAGACCTGTTATGGGGTACTCATGAAGTTAATACTGCTTATCCTACAAAGCCAGGAAGGATACCTGGAACAGTAACAAATATGCCACTATCCTCTCAACACTTTTTTTTTTGGTAGGAGTCAAACTCAGGACCTTGTCCCTGCAGGCGCTGTCTCTGTCTCCCTGAGCTATATCCCTGGTCCTCAACATTCATTTGAAAATTTTTGTATCCACCAGAACTTTCTGTGGGGTCTTATTAAATTCAACTATATACTTTGACAAGCTAAGTGCCCATGAAAAATTCACAAGTGAGTCTGATACACCAAAAATTAAAAGCAACAGAAGTAACTGAGGGAGGACACCAACTGAAACACAGTAATTTTTAACTTATTTTTTGAGACAGGATCTCACTATGTTCCCCAGACTGGTCTGAACTCTCAAGCCCAAGAGATTCTTCTGTCTCAGCCTCTCAGAGTAGCTGGGACTACTCTACCTGACTTGAATAAATTAGTTTTTATTTATTGACATTTTTCAGTATGTGGCAATAAAAGGTCTTGAAAAATGGGTGCTTTTTTCTAATTAACACAAAGGCATTTACAGGACAGACAGCCCTGTGATTATGGTCTCCACGGAGAAAGGGAGATAATAATCACTGTCAGTTCACGAGGTAGTGAACACAGCTGGAGGCAGTGTCTTCCTTTGCTTTCTCCAAGTCAATGGCTGGCACCTAAGATCTACTCCTCATGTCTATTGTTTATCACTGTGTGAAAAAAAAAAAAAATTCAAAGTGGTGAATTACCAACTGTACTGGGAGAAGTACAAAGGCTGTTATTCCTAAAGTTGTGTTTTGTTGTTTTTTTTTTCCAGAACCTGAACCAGCTTCCTTTTACTGGAAATCTATTTGGTTGCCCTGAATTTAACTCAATCCCTAACTTTTGCGAAAGGCAGCAAGGCGTATAATTTCACTACATTTTCAGGTGTTGCCTAGGAATGCATTCTCACCTTCATTTCTACTTCTGGGACTTGCACTACTAAAGTTTCCTAGGAACTGGCATACTGCTCCTCCCTGGCCAGAAAACGAAAATTCACAAAATTTGATTAAATGCACTTGTGACAAAACGGAACCACTTGAGACAGCAATACAAAGCCACGTATTATTTAATAATTAGTAAAATATTACTAACAATTTCAAAAGCAAAGCTGAGAACTAAATTAAACACATACTTTTACATAGATCACAAACACTAGCTATAAACATGAAACAAAGGCACAAAAACATTTTTAAAGGGAAAAACCTAAAGCAGACAAAAAAAGAAATCCAGCAATACCAGCATACTGACAGGCTGAGGCAGGAGGAACTCAAACTCCAGCCCACTCTTGGATATATAATGATTTAGCAAGAACCTGTCTCAAAACAAAAGGAACACAAAGCACTGGGTATAGATCAGTATGAAGGCCTTGCATACAATCCCCAGCACGTTAATAATCAAACAAGATGCCCCGGGGCAGCTCTTTCCAAGCGAATAATTTGTTATGTACTGATAAGCCCAGTCTTGGAAGAGTAAGACTTTGAAGGGGAGAAAACTCTTCCTTGCAAAGCTTCTATGTTTCGTAAACTTCCACATCAAAAAGAAATGCATTTATTTGAAACCTCAAAATTGGAGCCAAATTGTGGTCTACCAACTGCAGGATGCCCACTTTTCAGTGGAGAGGCAACGACGATAAACACAAAGACTAGAAAAATATGAGGCTGGGTAGAGTCTAGATATAAAGTAAGACACTTGTGGGATAGGAATTATTAGACTGCCCTTTATCATACAACTACGAGAGAGACTCCCTCAAACCCTCTGCAACCAAATACACTTTTCAGCTTTCAAGTTACCACCGGCTACGCTACAGAGGTGGTGTTAAAAGCTTGAAAATGGGGAGAGCTGTTAGGTGAGGAGTCAGGAGCTGGATCTAACTACACGCTAGGCCCTTTTAAGCCCAGCTCCAGGTTACATTCACTTCCAGGTCTCTAACCTCTCCCAAGAAGGACTTCAACCGTTCTGGAATCCCGCGGGGTTCTCTGGATCTGCAGATCCTTCCACGGCGAGGTGACAGGGCTGGGGTTCTCGCGCCCGAGGGCAATGCCCGAGTTTCCGTTTCCCATCCGGGAGCCGGGGCGCCCGAGCCCTCGGCCGATTGCGCGAACCGGCGCCAGCGCGCCCCTCCCGCCTGTGCCATGGCCGCCGCGTCCGCCGCCGTCCCCACCCTCCCGCGTCCCTCGGCAGCACCGCGCGCGGGAAGCGGGGAGCACGGGGCCCTCCGGGCTGCGCGTACAGCGGCGCCCCGCTAGGATCACACGGCGACGTCCCCGAGTCCCGGCCGCTCTCGCCTCCGACCCCGCCGGGCGCACCTGTGGTCGGAGCTGCCGGGAGCCCTGCGCCCCTCCCCGCAGGCCTGGCCGCGGCCCCTGCGACCCCCGGCCCGCCACCTTGGAGCCCCGCGCCGGGAGGCATCCGCAGCTCGCGCCCCGGGCGGGCGCGCCTCACCTGCTTGCCTCGGTAGAAGAGGCGCTGGCACTCGGGCCGCACGTCGAACAGCGCCCACACCCGCTCGCGGAGCTCCTCAATCGTGGCTTTGCGAGAAACGTCCTCGATGGTGCGCGTCTGGGCGCCGTCGATGGTGCGAACCTGGATCCACATCTCGGCTCGGCCCCCTTTGTCTCCCCCTGTGCTCGGGACGCCGCGCCCCGGGCGGCCCGGGCTCTCCGCGGTGGCGGCGGCGGCGGACAGGCGAGCGCGCGCACTGGAGCGGAGAGACCAGCGGGTTCCGGGCCCGACGGGCGGCCGCGGCGCCTCCCGGCCCGCGCGCGCCTGCCCAGCCCAGCGGAGGAAGAGAAAAATCGGAACCGGCGCTACGCGGTGGATCGCCTCCCAAAGAGGAACCAGCCGAGTCCGGGCGCGCGGAGTGTTTACTTATAGAGCAGTGGCTCCCACATGGAGGTCACGGCGCCAAGCCTGATCTCGCGAGATCCACGCGGGCCCCGCCTTAAGGAGGAAGCTCGGCGGGGGGTGGTTACGGACCGAGGATGCTGAACTCGGACGCCGCCGAGGGGCGGGGCGAGGGGCGGGGCTGCACCGAGCCGTTACTCGCCCCACGGCGGCGCGGCGGCGCCCCGGGCTGCGCATAGTCCTCGCACCTGCAGGTTTCGGGCCGTGGTGGGTCGCGCTCAGCGGCTGCCCTGGAAGGGCCTGATCTCGCGAGTGAGTCCCGGTCTCTGGTCTCAAAAGCACCCCCAAAATAAGTAACCCCGAGGTGGCCAGGGCGAGGGGAGCCCGGGGGAACCCTCCGAGCAGGCCCAGAAGGCAACAGTCAGCCTCCGCCCGCCACGCGGCTGGCGGGATGGGCGCCCCGGGCAGGCCGGGCTCCGCTGCTCAGCGCGTGTCGCCGGGCCCCGCGGCTGCCTTCGCTTGAAAACCCGCCGCGGAGGTTCCCGCCCTGGGTCCAGCGGGGTCCCCCTCGGGCGGCCGCGCTCCCACCCGGGCCTCGGGCTTTGGAGGCCGCGGGCCTCCGAGAGAGCTGGCCGCTCTCGCCCGCCGTCCGCCGCGAGGGCGGCCCCGGCTAGGGTCGTGGGGTCGCGGGAACCCGTTCGGGACGCTGCGGAGCCGCACAGTTGCGAGAAGGACGCGAAGGTCCTGCTGCGGAAAATAGCCCAGCCTGCCCCTGCCTCACACCGGGCCTGCTTCAGAGAAGCCTCCGTGTACCACGGGAGAAAGCGTACCAAAGCAGACGAAACGAGTTGCACCTTTCCCAAAACTGATGGCTTTAGTATTAATTGTGCCTAATTGTGCTACAAAGATAGAGCAACGTGTTTGTAGTAATATTAAAATACTATAATTACACAGACAAGGTCAGTAGTAGTGTTTTTTATGTTTCAAAGCACAACACGGGAACAAATGAAATATGCGTACATAATTTTAAATCTTTGCTCTTGCTGAAAATTTCATATTTAGCTAGGAACTATAATCCATCTTGTTTTCACTAACATAACTAAAGCAAATACTACGTGTTTACATATGTAAATGGGACCGTGGATATACCTAAAGCATGCTTGTGACCTGCCCCAACAATTGATATCTATTTGCAATTATACTATTATGTCTCTGTGTTATAACTTCTTTTCCAGTTCAGTGCTGAGAGTACAATCTAATTGAGATAAGATTTAGCAAAAATATGAAAATATATTGTAATACCAGTCTAATGATAGAGCTTCTATCAGAGATATGAAAAGAGGGACTAGATTTATCTGAAGCTTAGAAATACGTGTACAGCATGGCCTGAGTGATATGGTATGTTGTAATCAACGGCGATAGTTAGATGTGTTGAGTATACCGATTGAGACTGACCAGAATTATAATCCTAGTATTGCTGTTTATTTAAAATACGATGTTGAACAAATTGGGTGTTAAAATTTCCTCCTTGTAAAAGAGTGCTTAGCTTAGTGCACCTTCCTAAGTAGTATACAATTATTTAAGTGCTATTGTTATGAAGATTTAGATAGGCAGAGACTGCCCAAAGAAGAGGGGTTACTTCAAGACACAGAGTTCTACTGTAGGTATCTTCATGGGTTAGAAGAGATTGCTTGTCCAGAGAAGGTGATTAAATCAAGAAGGGCAAAGTGTGTAAGCCTCAGGGAGGAGCAATGGTTTTTAAAAGTGCAAGGAGGTTATGAGACAATTACTGTTAGGAAAGACAGCAGAAAGAGGGTGTAGGAATGCCTTAGGGGAAAAAACAAGAGGCCTGGAGATGTGGAAAAGAGATTGTTGAGGAAGGCTTGGCCCAGAGGCAATTGTGTCAATTTTGGCCAAAAATAGTGGCAGTAGGTAGGAAAGGAAGTATTTTGGAGTACTCTAGAAAATTGAGCTTCTGAGACTTGTATATTTGGATGAGGGATGAGGAAAATGGAATGTTGACAGCAACTCAAATGTCCAGGAAACTTAACGGACAGGTTGGGTATAAGATGCTCTTAACAAAAGTAAAAGAGGAAACAAACTCAGGAAAAATGCATTGAATTCTATTTGTGTTCTGTCATATTTGAAATACGTTCAAAATATACAGTACCTAGATTGGAAATGTCTTAAAGTTGAACATACAAACCAAAGATATTAGAAGTAGGAAAGCTGAAAGTTATTGATTGAGATTTGTACTCAGTCCTGTGAAATTTATCACATTACATATGGTGGGCTTTAGTGGAACAGTTAAAACTTCGCAGACTGGGGGACTTGGTATCAATTGGGAAAGACACAAGGGAATCTTCTGAGTCATGATAATTGTCTTAGTTACTCTTCTCTTGTTGCTGGGACAAATACCTGACACCCAAATTGAAGGAAGGAAAAGTTTATTTAGCTCACAGTTACCAGAAGTTTCAGGCCATATTTAGCTGGCTCCAAGACAAAGCGGCACATGGCAGAGGACAACCTTTCATGGCAGTGGCAAAGAGCAAGAGTGCAAAAGAAAGGTAGCAGCAGCTCAAACGGCTAGCTTCTCTTCCCACCTTACATTGTAATGCAAATTACCTGCCCCAGGGCAGGTGCAGCATCCACACCCAAAGCAATCAATCACAAAACCCAAAAGCCGCCCCAAGACTACATAAGGCTTTGGGAGGACGCCTAGACACAAACCATAACAATAATATTCTATGGGAAATAATATCAATGACCATAAAGATATATATGCAGACATTTTTGAACTACATAATTTATCATGTGTTCATTTTATGAACATAAAAGGTTTATATATGCCTATAGTTACATGAGTATATAGAGGTTTTTCTTACTAACAGTGGGCTTTTAAATTTCTGCTGATGAATAAATGAAAACGTAAATTCTATCCCTGCTGTCATGATTGATCTCTATAGGGATAAAGGAAAAACATTCTTCTTTCACCTTTTAGAGATTAGTTAGAAACTTCAGCGTAAAAATTTGATCTGGTCAAAGGTAAAGAAAAACTAAATTTAAAGTATACAAGTTATAGCAGGAGTGATATTACATGTCTATAATCTTGGCAGTTAGGAGGCTGAAGCAGGAGAATTTGAGGCCACAGAGTGAGGCCACAGTTTGAGACCAGCCTAGAATACATTAGCCAGCCTCCATTACAAAGTGAGACCCCATCTCAAAACGCCAAAAACTAAAGTAAAATAAATTTTATAGGTTGTAGATAGGTGTGGTGGTACATACCTATAAATCTCTAGTACTGTGAAACCAACAGCAAAACACTACAGGTATTGCAGCTAAGGATATTGAAGAAAACATGGGGCCAAGGAGATAGCTCAGTAGAATAAGCGCTTGCCTGGGAAGTGCAAGGTCCTAAGCTAAATTTGGTACCTCAAAAAAAAAAAAAAAACAAAACAGAAAGAAAAACAGCACATAAAAGGAGGAGGAGGGGGAAGGGGAGGAAGAGGAGGAGAGGGAGAGGGAGAAGGAGAAGAAGAAAACATGATTGTTCTGGAAAGGTATGGAGTGTGTATGCATGCACATACATGTTTATATGCAAGTATGCATTTGTATAAGCACACATGGGTATTTATCATGGGTATAAATATGCTATGTGTGCATATATGATTTGTGTGTGTGTGTGTGTATGTGTGTGTACACATGCACAGCTATGTTTTCTACTACGTCCACACAGGAAGAGTGAGAAAATGTACTTTTATGTTTCCACAAGCAAAGGTTTGATGAAAGAGTGCATGCTTTGAATTCCAGATTTTGAAACTTTTGCAGTTTTGGGGAGAAATGTTCAGCTTCAGGTGAATTGCCCTAGGAGAAGGTGGGGTACAGAGCCTAGAGGTACATCAATCCTGTGTTAGAGAATAGGTCATTTGTAAGATGACAGGGTGTGTGATTACTCTATGAAGGCTGGGGATCCAAAGAGTGAACTTTGAAGAAAAATGATAGGAGCAAGTGTAGGAACTATGACACTCACCCAAGCAAACACTTTTGAAAGGTTTATTTCTTTTCCTTCGGGCCCATATCTCCTAGTTCTATTCTTCTTACACTGAAATTCACTCTGCCTTTTCCCCAACTTTTCAGAAAAGTGTATTATCCCTTTTCCAATCTCTTGAGTTGTGTTATGGAAATAGTACGCAGGGAGTGTAGACTGAAAGCAGCAAATAGCAGAGCCTTACCTACTTCACCTCTACCCTAGAGCTTATTGTAACTAGAACCGACCATTGGTTGGAATAGGAAGATGGTGAGCCTACAATTCACAGGCCCTCACTTGTAAAGTATGGAGACTAATGCCTAGAGGTAAGGCAGGAGTGGAGAAGGTGGGGAAAAGTGAGCTTGGTTTATAGTGTAGTTTAGGTCTTTTCGTAGTCTGGAGAATGAGTTTAGTAGTCATATGAATGAGAAAATGGAGAATAACACCTATTGAATTTTTATACATTGGAAATATCCCATGTGTGTAATTTTTAAAAGACAGCCAAAACATGTATTTTATTTAGTTTTCTGAGATCATGAAATTGGGGTAATAAACTGAGGCAAGACATAATTTTCTAAAGAGGGAGTAGCTTGGTGTGTTGGTGTACCCCATGATCTTAGCATTCTGGGGGGCTGAGGCAGGAGGACTGCAAGGTTGAGCCCCACTGGATAACTCAGGAATTTAGCAGATTGCTATCTCAAAAAATAAAATAGCCTGAGGATATAACACAGTAAAAAGGCCATTAGTTCAATCTCCAGTCAAAATACAAAACAGGAGTGACACCTAAAATACATTCTTACAGGAATCCAACTATTCTGAATTCATCATAGACCAGTAGAAGAAAAATCATCAGTTATAAGTGAATGTGTCTAGCACTGGGGTTGTAGCTCAGTGGTGGAGCCTCTGCCTAATATTCATAAAGTACTGGATTCCACAGCCACCACAGAGAAAAAAATATGATTGAAACTGGCAAATGGTATCTTTAACAATTTAATCCCAAGTCATGAATACCTTT